ATACAACGAAAGGAGACTGCGACCACACAAAAGGCCACACCATCTTGGTCTTCATATCTTCGATCAAACCTTTTTTTTGTTTTTGGTCTCAATGCGAGAGAGAAAGAGCGAGCTAAAAGTACAAAGAAGTGACTATGATTAGAACCAAGATAAGAAAAGACTAGTTGCGTCGCCTTCTTTTTGCAGGCGGTTCAACTCCCTCTCTATCCTTCAGTCTATCAATTAAGCACAAATAGTTTTTACTTATCTTCTTTCCGGTATTCCTTACATTCAATGTATTTCCTATGCGGTTTATTTCTATGGCTTCTCAAATTTTACGTTTAGCCACAAAGATGCCATAATCAGCAAAACGACAAGTTTGAGACGGATGAATCCTGTTGTACTGCATCCGTTTGGCTTTTATACGACGCTCAGGTCGACGCAGTCCATGAGACCTTCATCGTTTCGGGTGAAAACCAGCTGAGCCTTTGTCAAGCATATGATGAAACGGGGGAGGAGGTTTCGTGGACTGCGTCGGCCTGAACGTGGTATAAAAGCCAAACGGCTGCAGTACAACGGGATTCATCTGTCCTCTTCTGGTGAGATCGACCAACGAGTCTCTTCTTCATGCGCTTTCATTCGAGATAAAAGTCCTTCCCCCCCCTCAGGAGATTCATCGAAACCCAGTTTCCCTTGGTATCTACTTTAAGAATTCACGTCATTATTCGTTTGAGCACTCACTCTTGCGGAGTAGTCATTTCCTCGTAGATCCAGCCCCAGCTGACGTCACACCACATGCACATCACCGTTGCAACCTAGTCTGGATTGCCACTCAACCAGGGCATCTTCTCCACGCGCCAACTCCTCGTGCGCCACCTTTCCCCGCTTCACGTTTTTGCGCACGACGTCTACTCGCGATGCTTCTCCGCGCTCTATTTTACTTTCCGCGCCAATCCTTCCTGCGCGGTTTCTCCTAACGTCGATTCTCCGCGCGCCAGTCTTCAAGTCCATTTTCACTTACACTTTCACTTGGGACGCTTTATCACGCATCGCGTCGCCAACCTCGATTTCTCTTTTGGCGCCCATTCTCTTCGCGCTCCTTCCTCGTGCTCGACGTGTCCTAACGTCGTTCGACGCCTGCTACTTTCGACTATGCCTATTGGCTGGGCCTCTTTGCCCCATCATACCGGCATCAATCCTCAACCAATCACACATGCAATGTCGTCACTCTTGACCCTCGGAGACCCAAGAGGCCAATTCAAATATCTTATTGTCTATCGATGTGACCCTTCCACGGGAGCCACCTTTATCTCAGACACGACGACCTCGCGATCGGTCTAACTTGATTAACCTACTAAAAAGCCCCAGTTCTTTTTTTTCTCCTCCACACATTCCCTTCCCCTGATCTGGTGTCAACTGCTTTTCGTGCTTCTCACTTACCAACCGGTCGAGTGTCACCCAGCGCGTCGGGGGGCTGGTCAAAGAATGTAATTGTGTCGTTGTTTGGCGCGTGAAACGCGTCAGCTGCAGCGCCCTCCCCTC